TATCACAAGGTGAACCTTAAAAGCACGACGAATAAGCATAGATCCAAAGGTATGCGACAAAATGTCGCTGACCCATAGTTAAAAAACCACGAGTGCACAAGTGAGCGATTTGCACACACGTCCGCTCAAGGTCACAACAGGTGTCTATACAGACTATTCTTCAGCTTCCAGCAGTTCCGGACTACAAATTCGTCTGCCTCTATATAAGCGCTTTCACTAGACTGCGTTTGTATGCAACCGGGACGAAACTAGAAAACAAGGTACTGCTCACTCTAGGTCGCCCTGCGGTGAACGGTGCGCTGCAGTGTACCTCCGTCCCGTCTCTTGATGAGGATATCAAAAATGACAGGCAGCCATGTTGTTCTATCTCGTGGAACAGATAAGTTGGGATGCATTGAATTCAAGATGGTTAACAGTCGCGCAAAATGTTGGCTGCTGTTGGATACCAAAATATCATCCACGTACCGTTTGTACAGTTTCGCCTCACCCATACTGACAGCAACTTGCCTTTCAATCAAGCCAAGAAAGATATCTGCCAAAACCAGTCCCAAAGGGCTGCCCATGTCGACCTCGCCCATCTGCTTGTATGCTGTCCCTTCAAACTCAAACCATGCATTTTCTTTGCAAAATAGATTCATATCTACCGAGGGCTGACGATTAGGTGCGCAAATTTTAACACATGACTTCTGCTTGGTGCGCGAATTTTAATCGTGACTTTTACTTTCTACAATCTTTACCCTACTCACAGACATCCAAATTTAATCTACTATCGCCCATTGGACATTCGAAGGACAGATACTTCAGCCCATTGGGAAGTGACGGGTGAGTGAGCCAATCTGCAACACCAGGACAGGTACTGTGAGCCCATTGGCAATACGTCGCGCACCAAGCAGAAGTCATGTGCTAAAATTTGCGCACCTAATCGTCAGCCCTCGGTAGCTCAGTGGTAGAGCAGCGGACCGGAAATTCGTGGACCGGGGTTCGATTCCCCGTCGAGGCACATTATTGTGCGTGAATTTTAATCGTGACTTTTACTTTCTACAATCTTTACCCTACTCACAAACATCCAAATAGAATCATATCTCTCAACTATTCCCCAGGGAGGCCCACATTCATGTTTTGGCTCAGCATGAAATGACACGAATCATCAACTGTTTCCTGAAGGGACACGTTGGTGAATAGTGAGTCCACGTCTATAGAGTACATGAACTCCAAGCCCAGGGAGGATTGTTCCAGCGTCTCTGCCAGTTCAAAGGAGTCTTTCAGGCGGTGCGCAGTCAGGAGTGTACGCACGGGTTCTAAGTGTTTTGCCAGCCACCAAACGTTATACTAGGGCGAGTTGTTCATGCACATAATCGGACGCAGTGGGTTACCTGGTTTGTGCAGTTTAGGTACGCCCATCATTCTTGGTGTCTGCGTCCCAGTCGTTTTCAGCTGTCTGTACTGCGACTCAGTGATGTATCGATGTGGCAAGAGAATTTGCGATTTTCCTGCTACCTGATTCTCCACCAAGATGTTATTCTCCGGTGTCGTGTCTCTCAGGAACTTACGTCTATCCCCCAAAATCGACCATTTTTGAAACCTAGTCATCCCTGTTCATTATTACAATGCCTGATCCTTTATCCGGCTGCAAGAAGGTCACATGTGCCATTTCTTTTAACTCTCTGATCGCCGCAAATTGTTCAGCCTTCAGACATCTATGGCTTATTGTTATATTCAGAAATGGGTTCGCAATATCTACCAATTTTGCCCGAAACCAACCCGCATCTTCTATGGATTTTGGCGAAAGATCACTGAGTTGGTCATATACATACTCGAAGTTGACCTGCGTGCTGAGCATGTCTATCGCTTTTGGTGGCAACCGATATAGCAAATGACAAAATTCTCTGCTTCGAAGTCAACCCACCTCTACCACATTTTTATTTATAAAGCAAACTTGTTCCGCACCTCTAACTAACTCACTTTTCTGTCCAGAAGAATCTGAACAAATTACTGAGTGAATACCGAAACCCGTCGATATCACTCCCTACACACCTCGGCTGCCCCGTATGGTTGAACGGCTGAAACACCAACTCGCGATACACTTTTCTTAGGATCGGATTGAACGCAAACCCTCCTTGAGGATGCAATTACAAATGTGGTCGGATTAACCCCACGATGTGTCTTGCACTATCGAGACATAAACCATTCATTTAGTATTTTTAATTGTGACTACCTTTTTTCACTCCTACTGTAATGTTAAATATTACTTTTTTCTGTCCCGGAGGCGACAGTCCAGGATCAGAGAACAAGTCTCATTGCTCAGCGCTATCAATTCCTGTACTTTTCAAACGCAAGCAAATGATGATGAATCTGAAAATTATTTTCAGAACTGTCTAGCATATCGTTACTTCACAGTCATCCGTTTTTGACATTTCCCCTGTACAATTTGGTCGGTCTTTCTTGCGCACATATTTTATATTCTTCTTCACTTTACTGTTGACCATGACTGGATCGATCTCCTGCGGTGACTGATTTGAACTCCTAACTTTAATAATTATACCCATGGAAGCCGCATTGCCGTTAGTTCCTTGGCAATAAAAGGTGTTTACTCAGAAAACCAGTTAATGGTACGGGCTAGGTGGTTTGACTATCCACATTATATACACATATAAACAGCCCTGAAGATGAGTTGCCTAAGTGATGGCTTATCTTCGTTAAATGCCACACCGGCATACGGCCAGATGGGGCACGGAAATTCGGGTGAATTCCATCGAGACAATAGCCCGCATGGAATCAGATTCTCAGGAGGCGGTTCCAGTAATCACCGTATTACTTCACTTATGCGTTTTATGTTTCTACACTTTTTATCTTTTAATCCTCCCGAAAGATTTGTCCCACCTATTAGATTTGGCAGAGCCTTCAAATTTGGCCGTTGCTATTCTCGTTCGATTATTTTACATTACCGATTGCAGATTCTATATTTTATTTTTAACTTTGAAACAATTTGTTTTTTCTGATCAGGTCTCAAGGTCAATATTGTCCTACTCCGTCAACCATTTGAAAACGTTACGTGTTAGTTACTGTCTTAAATTCGTGCTTCATCGAATACGGCCATAAAGTCAGGAACACCTTCAAACGTATTACGAATAAATGTCTTGGAAAAAACGCAATCATCGTGCTGGCTGGCAATCTGGCCTCAATCGTTATTCTGTCGACAAAGCGCAAACCCCACTGATACATTCCATGTAATGTTCACTCGCTCCTTGGTCAAATCAGTGATCTCAGTGCCATTATACAGCGAAAGGAGTATGTTAATACTGGAATCATTCTATTACCAGAAAGCTGGTTACATGCTGATGTGGAAAATGGGATAATTCAACTCGATGGTTATTTTCGCATCAGGTCTGATCGCCTCGGGAAGCCACGGTTTTGTGGTCGCGACGTTATAACCTACGTTAATCAAGGTTGGTGCGACGCAGCAATCCTAATATTTATGCACGCAACGATTTATATAATCTGCCATTTAGTTGAATGCAAACCGAAGTTCCTAATTGGCTTTCGATCAGTCCTCGTTGAAAACGTATACATCGCTCCTGACACAATGGCATCGGAGTTAAGGCTTTTTAATGACCAACACTCTTCAACGCTATTGCTTAAATTAGGTGGTTCTATCTGTATTGTTACTGGCGACTTCAATAGGAAGGATAGAACATTTTTGAAGACACTTGGCTTTGTAGACCTGGTGACTATTTCGACCACACAAGATGCCCAGTTGGACGCTATGTACACAATTAAACGATAGTTGTTTTCCACACAAGTACGGACTCCTATGAGCAGCTCAGATCATTGTGTTTTAAAGCTGCGTCCAGTCATATACAGCAGGTCTACTTTTTTAACGCCGATCAGCCGTCCTTTTACAAAATTATCAAACGGTGAAATTGCCCCTTAGAAAATATCACGAAGCTCCAGAAGATGTTTTCCTTAACTGCTTTTTCGGTCTTCAACCATGAGGACCTGTCGCTCGAATGTGACATCTTGCGGACTGCATCAAATATTGCCTTGACATGTGTTGCCCTGTTGAAAACATCTATCTGAGAGCAAATATATTTTCATCAGCACTACTAAAGCGACTTCGAAGGATGAAAGAAGGGGTCTACAAGTGCAAGAATGCTACTCATGTCAAAAACCTCACCATAACAATTAAATCCGAGATACAATGGCTAAACCACTTTTCAATAGGGCCGAAACACACTGTAGCACGACAGAATTGAGGAAAAAGGAAGGAAACCATATATACCGGGTATTGCAAAACAACGGGTATCCAGGAAATTTCCTCGGAAGTAGCCTAAAGAAGAGGGTGCAGCAACAACAGCAGGAAAACATAGATACACTGGTAGCGCTTCCTTACATCAAGAATGTATCTGAACTAACGTCAAGATTGCTACGACCACATAGTATCTTGGTAGGCCACAAACCAACAGGTACTTTGCGAAGATTGCTTTCAAGACCGAAGGACAAAGTTAAACAAGGCAATCAGAATGATGTCGTCTACAAAAATAACTGCAAAGAGTGTGACAAATACTACATCGGGCAAACTGGAAGGAAATTATCAACACGGATCAAGGAACACAGAATGGCTATACGAAGATACGATCCGCATTCACTGGTTTCCATGCATGAAGACCAAGAAGGCCACCACTTCGACCTAGCGAACGTTAAGATCCTAGCCCGTGGAAATTCGAGACAAGCTAGAGAATTCTTGGAAGCATGGTATTCTTCGGACAATTCAGTAAATCGACACGTTGAAATAGATAATATATATACAGCGCTACGGATGAAAAATCGCCGAATTAGTAGAATAAATCTAACGGAACGGAACGCCAGACTAGTGCATCAAACGACGACAACCGAAGAGTCACGCGCGTACACTACGAGGTGAGAATCAGAGATCGATTTCCATGGTCATGTGCTTGTCGAACAATCCAAACTCAGACTAGCAGCTAGGAGATCGATCACTCACACTCACTGACGCTTCCTACGCGCCACTCTGCTAAATACAATCGCACTGACGATGTCACCTCGAGTGGTGACGAAACGTTTGCAGTCAATCTGCCGAGCTCAGCGAACACTCAGTCCACCAACTAAATCACTTATACCTCGAAGCTATTCGAGATAGTCATGACTGTCGGGATCTTTGGACGCTTCTGAGGTAGCTCCGTGGTAATAGCGTTCTCAGCCAGCGAGGTGAAGTGGACGTGGATAAACTGAATTCGGAGTCTAGTTCCTTCTCACAAAGCTCATCTTTCTTGCTATCCTTCATTAACTCAAGCCCAGCCGCGCCCTTCGATCAAAGCAACGTTCACAAGCAAGTCAAATGATTGAACGCAAACAAAGCTTATGGTCTGGATGCTCTCTCACCATTAGCTTTGAAACAGTGTAATGATTCCCTCACACTGTTTTTAACAAAGGCCTCGCTACGGGTGTGATCCCGTTCATTTGGAGAACGGCCAGTTTCACTCCAGTACCACAAAATGCATCTCAGAAGTATCGCCTACCTGCATGTACATCTGTGCCTCCAAAAGTTTTCGAAACACAGCCGCTCCTGAAGATGATATCTACCAGTTTGCCTATAGAACCTCAGCGCTCCACATTGGATGCAGTGGCATATATCATTCATTCTTCAGCCTCTGCACTGGATCGAAAATGTAAATGAGTACGGCTTCTCTTCCTGGATTAGTTGACTGCTCTTAGAAGCCTGGATATGTCAATATTGCCATACCTGCTATCCGAAAATGGAGTTCACTCTGGTGTGTGTAATCTGTTCCGTGACTATTTTACGTATCGTACTCAATTCACCAAGTTAAACGGTAAGAAATCCTTTGTCCTCCGTGCCGATTTTGGTGTACCGCAGGGAGAGATCCTATCACCTTTCGTACATTCCTTGTATATTGAACGCCACCCTATGTACACCACGTTTATGTTGTGTAAATATGCAGATGAAGTCATGCTGGGATGTATTGCTCCCACTAACCAGGATTCCTCATCACTTCAACATGGTTTGGAAGCTCTGGTGGAATAGTCTTCATCCAGATCCCCTACACTTAATGTTTCTAAATGCAGGAATGTGATAGTTTCTTTTCTACGTGGCGATAAGTTGCAGTCCCTCATATATTTTCCCCCCACAGTGTGAATGAAAATCCGATACCCAGCTCTTCCACCGTAAAGTGTGCTGAAGTGTTTTTTGTCCCAAACTTTTTCTTGATCCACGCATGTCTGCAAAGCTTTACGAAAACGCAGAAAACTTGGTTCGTAAGCCATCAGACTTAAGATGATTTCAGTAGCTCGTACTTTAATATTCAGGTTTGTGATCTCTTGTATTCTTCCCAATTAGCTATACCGCTATTTTGCCATTTTCCCTGGACTGCTTCAGAAAGACTACATCTTATTGGTACAATCTATAGAGCACATTCCTAGATGCAGCGGTTTGTTTAGAGCTTCTTTAGTTGATTTGATCACTTCTTGACATCATGATGCCTGCAATGATTTTTCTTCTAAGATACCAACTGATCTAATTCATCCAGTTCACAATGATCTTTCCAAAATCCTCTCTTTTTCTTCTACTCGTTCGTAATTCAGAACTTTCTTCTCCCGCACGTCATAGTATGGAAATACTGTTTTGCCTTATCACTCACGTTTGCATGTTGACCCAATGCAAGTCACAAACATGCTGCGCGAGCGCTTGTTGGAGTAACAGTTCTGCTTTTTTCCACTTTTCTACCCAAGCATATATATTAATATTATCCTCCAGGTGTCCGCAGTGATGGTGTAAATGCTGAAAATGAGCCCATTACGATACATAGAGCTTATTTTGACTTGAATTGACTTAGCCATGTCCGCCAAAAAGCTTGAGGACTGCCTTGGAAATTCAAAACATATAACATCTACTCCTTGCGATTCTGCCATACACCAAGAATCTTAATATCCATTTGGACTGTATATTGCATTGACGAGAGATATACCTTTGTTTTTTATTCACCACAAATTCATATTGCCTGTGCAAGAGCATGGTATTACCTGTACATATTTGATCTGCGCCAAATATGGACGCAGCTTCTCAGTTAAAGAGAAATATACCCATTATTGTTAACCAATCACAACAACACGCCGATCTTACAGCCAATTCAGCTACTTTGTAACTATGTTCTCCATACAGCTCTCAAGCCGCTAAAACTTTATGCGGTACCGATAAGTGTATCTTTCCTTTAACTTTCCGGATTGTACACGTGCTGTACAGAATGCTTCCTCATCCACATTATAACATCTCAATGCTGTCACACATCATCTTGTTTCAGCACATCAATGACCTTGGTTCAGGCCATTCACCATCTTCGGTTTGCTTGCAAGGATTTATGGAAATCCTACCGGATATTTACTTGCGCGTTTGGCTACAAATTTCATTGTCTATCGAGACATGAGGATTGCCTGAGTTTGGTCCTCAAAAACGGACCAACATTGATTGCGCTTAGTGAGAACGGGAGTGTCCCTCACTTGAATGGAATGAAACGTCCTTATCCTCGGACGGATGGGCCGTTTGATATTGCCTTCGAGGTGAAGGATGTACATCAAATATGTGACCGAGTGCGTCGAATTAACGGTTCCAGTTACATCCTAGCGGAACCCGAGGTGCATGCCGATCAGAATGGATGTGTCACAATGGCAGTGATCCGATCGTGTGTCGGTGAGGTCGTGCACACTCTTTTGGATACTTCAAACTATCGCGGAATGTTTCTGCCAGGCTACGTATCTCTAGAGTCAATTTCCCTTGCTGACGTCGCCGAGCATCTGCAGCAGTCCGCCACCTTACACGCTTCAGTCGACGTTGTTTGCTTGGATCATGTCGCGCTGGTATGTAATCCTACCGAGCTAGATCACATACTACATTGGTACTCACAAGTATTTGAGATGACCCGGGTTACATGTAACGAGTAATTCCTTCTATCTAAATCACTAATTTCTTGCGCTACCACAGATTTGACGATGAAATCGAGGGCGTTGTAATTCAGTACAACAGAACGGGAATGCGGCTCAAAACGTTGGACACTGGTGCAAAGCATATTGCAGACTCTACAGTTGTCAACCCGGATACTTGCAAATTTGTCATAGCAGAATCACTGGCCGAGTCTGGTAGGTTGCCGTGCTATCGATTAAATTACATCGCATCCTTTTCTTTCTGTGGCTCCTAGCGCCTAATCAAATCACTCGGTTTTTGGACGTGAACAGTGGCCCAGGTATCCAACACATCGCCCTGAGGGTCCCCGATATTATGACCGCTGTGCGGTCGTCACGCATTGGGGGAGCCCAATTTGTCGATACACCTAAGGCGTACTATGATGAGGTTAGTTGGTGACATCAAATATTTTACCTTCTTAGCTGCTCTTCTCCTTCGTGCTTTCCGGGTGTTTATGGTCGCAGCTATGTGCTGTTCTGTCTGGTTCATCTGTGGTTCTATCCGTTCTGATGCATCTAACTCTTATTCGCCTTTAATGTGTGTTTCATTGCGGGCATCACGACACCACACACTCATTAGCTCTACTCTGCATCTGTTTGATCGGCCAAACAGAGCCGCCCTCTTCTTATCAATGGTTCTTTCCATTTATTGCTAGAAGTTTTCTGTTTTATTGACCATCTCGTTTTTCTACATCAATGTCGCTCAGTACTTGTGTGTGTGGCCTCTCAGCAAACGGAAGCATACCTCGTGCGCTCTTCTCTGGCAATGGTTCTCCTCGCTCCCTCTTCACCTATCACAATTATCATACACTCGTTCTACTCGGATGGACTTGCCATATTCGGTGTTCATCTACAGTTCGTGAATCCTGCAACCCTAGGTGCTTAGCATTACTCGTGGTCAAGTTTGTTTCTGCAGATTTACAATCATTGAGATCCACCCACTTCAAAGCACGTTGAAGGGCGTAGTCCTGCTTGAACCATTATCGCCATCGATAACAGCCAACATGCGTGCGCGTCATTCCCGTGACAAACCCGCCCACCATAAGTGAGGGCAAGTGCTCCATTATGACATCAAACTTGTGGATCACTCACTCTCCACCTCATGTGACCGGACAGGTACACTGTTCATTTTCAACAACAGCCGTCACCGACCATGATTCCATCTAGCGGTAAATATGCAGAATCATTATACATCCGGGTTGTCAGGGCAGGACTGGCCTTACCTAACTGTGCCATTGAATTGCACTGGCGTAACTTACGTGGAATCAGTAACAAAACCATCTGATAAGCACAAAAAGAAGGTGACGGCTGGTAAATGCATGCCTTTCGTATTGTCTCCTCAGTACCATTAACAATAACGGGTAGGTATAGATATAGCTAACTGTGAATGCAATCTGGCTGATTCACTCTGGTTCTGTCGGGTATGCAGAGCCATTCCATTTACGCTCAGGAAAAAAATGTGAAAAACTGACCGAAACTATTGAGTTGACTACGATTTTCAGTGCTTCACCATTGAAATCGGACGCAACTTAATGCACTTCCTCAGAAACCTCTCTGAGCTCCGTCCTTAGGTCGAAGAGTATAAGCAGTCTTACTAACTGTCCCACTGTATCCACACCACTTACTCTGATACCTACCAACGTAATCGGGCAACTCAATTTCAGTGTGACTGCTACTACCCCATTCATGGATGCTACATCTAACGCACCACTCGGTTTTGGCACTAGCAGCTCAGAGCCGGAGGCCATCCGGTACTGAGGAAAAACGGGTAACCTACGCGTTGGTCTCCTCGATTAAAGCGCCGGGAACGACACCTGCAGGTCCATCTTCTGTACCGAGCACAATCGGTGCGCTGCAGATTTCACGACCGTCAACTCCAGTGGCGCCTCCCAAACATTCCAAATCACTATCGACAACTCTCAACTCATGTTGAACCCACTATGCTGAGACATATAGCGCGTCACCCAACTTCAGTGCACTATGGTGAACCACGAATTCTTCGAGTAACGTTGGACAAACTCAGTAGATACGACAGAAGCCGTCCTGCTCTCAGCAGTTCGTCTCCGTAACTCACCTAGCCGGGTGCGCATATTACCCGATCTTCCTTGGAAACATCGCCCCAAGGAAGCGGGTAACCAAAGCGGCCCTCTTAGTAGCTATAGCAAGCAAACAATATTTGTTCATGGTCTTCCCGAGCTTCCAGACCCCCTTGATCACGAGATGCGAACATATAACCGAGAGCAGTGATGCTACATCCACGAAGCACTCTTTGAAAAATGTTACCGCAAAATCGTTGATAGGAATTCCTTCATCACCTAACTACAAGGACTTCGGTCCAAAATTAATTCGAGTGGTGCTTCACTCTGAGCTAATACTACAAGTTCTCTTGGATAACTGGTGGAAGTTTCGGGTCGGTTTTCCAACCGAGATCCGGCTAAGGACAGCAGGCGCACGGCCACGGGTGGTCAGCAATTCGATAGAACTTGCAGCTTCAGTAAATCCTCTGTCTCCACAGTCCTGTGGACGGACCGACACAACAGCACCGGAGGCAATCGGTAGGAAGGAACGAAGCACGCGAGAACGATGGGGTGTGGAAAACCTGTCTGGCCATTCAGCCCGACTGAAATTCACAAACCAACTATCTAACGAAAGGAACGATTAGTGGTCGACCACCGAACGGTCACCTTAGGGCCAAACCCGATTTTGAAATCCACCAACGCATTCCTAACCTCCAAAACGTTATCCTGTTTCCACATTAACGCCCAGGGCCTTCGTAAGATGGCTGAACTTAGTAGTGCCGGGCCTCACAGCCGCGGGATCTCATAATAACTACAGTGACCTGATTAATCCTTGGGATAGCTGATTATGAGATCAATTTACCCGGTATCATCATCCTCATTATACACTTAGCTAGAGATGGGAAACACCTTAGCTACTGTGCCACAATACATAGAAGAAAATAGAAGAGAAAAAATGCAAGTGTTGCAAGCCGGCTGAGCTACCGGTAACGGATGGGCATCGTTCCGGTAAGCTACCTGCCGGCTAATGTGCATCAAAAAATTACTATGCAAAATTATATAAGGCTAAATTGTGGGATCGTAGTTGGAGGGGGAGGCTAAGAGGGATGGGTGGGACAAAGCAACTCACAGCACGAACGCCACTGAGGTCGGCTCCTAGCCATATCAGCAAGCGTATCTAGCCAAACGTGTTCATCCTCTTTCGGACCCCAACCAGGGAGCCGTGACACTCCAACTGAGGCCACCTCCGAAGTGAGCACCTGGCCCCAGTACGTCGCACGTCGTTACCCAATCTGTGCTACTCTGGATTATCTTGATCATACCCTGATGCTTTACTCTCATGCTACTACTGCAAACACTTTTCCATCACACGCCACTCGCTTGTCTACTCTCCCCCTGTATCATCCTTCCCCGATTTTGTCTGATCAATCAACAACAAACAGCATTGCTTCATCTGATGTCACCGTTGCCGCACCATCCTCTGACATAACAGCACAGCGCCAAACCGGGATTGAACAGTCCCGGATCCTTCCCTCTCCGCTTCTGCAACCGAAAACACATTACAACTTAGCGGCGTTCAATGTGCGCACCTTAAAACAGATTGGACAACAACCCGGTCTCTCACGCACTCTAGAAACTCCTGCAATTGATGTCTGTTGTTTTCCGAAATACGACTTCAGGATTCCAGCAAAGTCTGCTCATTGGCGTCACTAATCCACCCTTATACCGTTTATACCTTCAACTTTCTAGAGACGCCGAGCTACTGCTTCTGGGCAAGCTGATGTTGGGGCCGCGCTTAGTGCCAGAGCCGAAGCCGCCATTATCAATTGGATTCCGATCAACAGTTGCCTTTGTGCTGTCAGGCTCCATGGCTCCTGCCAGACTAACGGTCGTCGAGAAGACAAACGTGCTCTTATGTAATCTCGTGCAGAATGCCCATTTGGCGGCAAACCCGAGAAGAAACGTAAGCAGAGCGTTTAGGGCGAACAATTGTTTTCGATTTCTTCCTCATTAGGCTTCGTACAGAAATATACTTATGAACAAGCAGATTTGTGGGCCAGTATAGTGAAACACCATTGATTTGATAAAATTAAACGTAAACGGCTCTCGTGATGAGCATCAGATGATCAGATGAGTTGGGGCACTTGGGATTGATGGTCGGCAGTAAATTCCTCTCATGTAGTTGATGGTCATGGAAGTTGCAATGCTTGATTGAGCTACTTTTGGATGCAGAGATTAGGCTTCATCAGTCTTATGCTTACTGCTTTAGCAGTAGAAAGCAGTCGTGCTGCTATCTGATGGGTCAAGTGTGACAGTACCTTATACAGGATTTCGGAAGCACTACTTTTGTCAGTATTGTGCCCAGTAGCAATCAGATGGTTAATAACTACTTAGATTAGATCTGTCTATTCGTGTGGTGAGCGAATTCGGTCGGTGCTTCTGATTCGATTTTCTAAGTGTCTGGTCGTACGTCCAATATACCTAGCTCCACAGGAGCAGGTGAATCGGTATATTACATTTGATTGGAGGAGATGAGGCGCTTTGTCTTTGAATCTAGGGACAACCAACGATTCGCTCGTATAGATCACATTGACTTCAGCTGCCTTGAAGGTATTCCTGCAGGATCGCATCAATGTTCTTGTACAGATCTCAGCTGCTCTGTTACCCTCAGTGGGGGTTTCAAGGAACAATTGTTTTTCTCCGCCGTTTGACCTGATGGTTTCGGGTCTTTAGGCCTCATATGTGTGTCAATAAAGCGTTCTAGATAACCATTCTCCAGTAGTGTGCACTTGATTCGTTCCAGTTCATCTGTAGTCGTGTGTTCACTACAGATCTTGTGCACACGGTCAGTCACGTATGGATCAGTGTTCTTGTGCGGCTGTTGAGCACAAAGCTCTGGAAATGTATGTACTGCTCCGTCCAATATGGCTTTCTGTACTGTTCTAACTCTATTGATCCGTCGGCTCTCCCCTTTAGATTTACATCCATAAAGTTCAGACAGTTGTTGCTTTCTCCTTCAGCTGTAAATGAGGCACTGGGATGTGCACTGTTGGAACGTTCCACGACGTTTTGCAAGTTCGTCGTCCGATCCACTATGCAGAAAATGTCAGTTATTATCCGGCTGAGCTGGTCCTACTCCACCTGACCTCCACTCTGACCTGGACAGACCAGACTCTACAGTAACTGCCTCCTGGATCTACCTCTTACATTGTACTTGCGATAACAAGTACGTGGGCCGAACTGAGAGGAGGTTGTTTAGGGAGATTTCAGATCATGTCCCACTTAACCTGGTGGCAAATGTCACTTAGCTGCTCGCAAGCACTATCGCACAGCATATCCTCGATTGCCCCACGTGCCAACACCTGCGTGA